AAAAAAAAAATTCATTAAAAACTGATCATATGATAACAAAATAATAAAAAGTTATGACGCTACCACGCAAAGTTTACAAACATGTCAAATTTTAAATTCAAAAGCACAATCTGCATTCAACAATACGTTCATCAATTGAAATGGAATGTTTCAGCGCAATCAGAACACTGCATAAGAATCCCGTCTTTTTGAACAGATCCTAGTAAGTGAACGTTAAAGAGATTTTAAATGAGGAATCGATACAGTCATAATGAAACACAAAATAAAAACAAATGATTCCGAATGAAAGACACTGAGAGCTAGAAAAATAACATGCTAGAAATGACGGACTTATTGCTACGGCCAGATTTACTAGTATCAGACCTGATATTGCAGTGCAAACGAAATCTGTTAATTGCTACGAACAGGCGAGGAACGTTACAGACACTATACAAACACCGAAGTATACAGTTAAGTTCTCTAACAATAAGTTTTTTAGTGCCTTAGCAAAGGTGAGAGCAAAAAAAATTAAACGACGAAAAAAATGAAAATGAAAGAATGACACAACGACCACAACAACAAAAAATGCCTATAAAGTCAACATAATAAACTAATATTGCCAATAGACGAACCAAAAAGGAACATTTTATTATTGGCTAAAAACGAGACATAACTCAGTGAACCACTGATGAGATCGGATTTCAATTTTGTTTCTAAAGTGAGTTCAACACAATTATTGTTATCAACATTATGATTAATATCACTACTGTCAGCAGCATTACCGCTATTAATATTTACACTGAATAATTTGATACGACCCGACGGCTGTAAGCAAAATAATTGATCATTACATGTTACAATCATTGAAGGCGACAAATCTGGCAATCGCTTTTTGATTTTCAGTCTTTTTACATCCCATATGATTGGTGCATGGTCCAAATGTGTGCTCACTAGCAATTCATTGCTCATCCAACGCATCTGTTATTATTATTATTATTATTATCACAATGTTATTATCGTCATCATTATATCAGCCCTAATTATATTAACTCTGCTCATTATTGAATTACGTTATCATTATACTCACTCTGCTTATTATTGAATTATGCGAATCCATAAAAAAACCTACCAATCGCTAATAATAAAACAAAGGAGTGAATGAAAGACAAATGTGATATTCGAGATAAGAGAAAGGCATAAACTCGTGATGAATTATTGCAGTTGCTGATTAAATGAATGAATAGTAAAATACACAAACGAACGTATAATATTTCACACAAACAAACGTATAATCACAACTTTTAGTTAGGTAAACACGCCACTTGGAATGGCTTGTAATCAGTCACTCTTGAAAATGAGAAGTTTATCAAACCAAGAGTGCACTTGGATGGAACAAGTGATGTGCATGAAAGAATTTAAACAAAATGATGTATTATGACAACTGGAAATCAAACAATAAAGCAACGAACCTCGATTGTATCCGAATGGATATGCATCGAAATCGACTTCACACAACCACTTCGAATGTCCACTATCGAAAGTACTCCGTTTGACAGAGCAACTGCGCAGTACTTTTGATTTGGTGATATTGCAAAACACCTATAATCAATTATTATTACCAACTGTTACCATTCCACTCAACTCAATTGAAACTTACTCTAATTAGCGCGTACTAGTGACAATACCGACAAGAAATTCTTCATAATTAACATCAATGAAAGTACTGATCGCAAAAATAATTATACCAATCGCAAATGAAATTTGCCAAAAACAAGTAGAAAAACGTAATGAAAAAGCGATGAAACCTGATAGTACTGTTCGATGAATTATGCGCCAGGCATTTCAGTGTGTGAATCGACTCGGATGCATACAAACGATAACAAAATCGACCCGCACGCACATCGATCAACCTCAAAACAAAACCTTCTTTCTTACCATTCACTAATCAGAATACTCGATCGCTTCTCACCAATGCAAACGTTGATTTCATAAAACAAAAACAGATTAGGATGTGAACGCAATATCATGCATCCGAATACGCTGTATTAAATACAGAATAAAATAAAAGTTGTTGAATGAATCAGCAAAATTAGCAATTTACAAAAGAACTGAGCACTAACGTATATAAAAAACATTGATACTGATTAAGAAATCACAATAATAATAATGACAGCAATGAAACTACCGGAGTGAATTATCAATTGGAGCCGAAGTGATCACAACAGATCTATCCAAGGTGGCGATATTCGTGATGGCCGAATCACCAACTAGTGGCCAGTCGAACTGCGACACGATCGAGCCCCGAAATGGATCCCATATCTGTAACGTTAATGATAATCTTCTGCACATTCGATGAATGATACAGAGACATACGTGNAATGATGAATCGGTGGATGCAATCAGATTAATCGATGGTAACAGGCAAAGATCGAGAATCGGTCTTGTATGCTGACGATAAGTCCACTGAGAACGCTGTCCACGCTGAATTTTTCATTATCAGTTATCGCTTAACAATCCCACCTTTGCAACACCTCTATTTCACCATTTCAATACCACATAGATGGCTGAAACGTTTCTTTGCTCTTCCTGAATTCTTCTCATGTTTAGTTCCTTCATAAGTTTCGACACCTCCAACTCAATCAATCATAAAAATGAAACGTTTCAAAACGAGCGAAAGTGGGATACTCAAAGTGGAATACTTTAAAATGCAATTTCATCGTGACAATTTACGAAACCACAAATTATCATTTAGCCACTAAAATTCTTTGTAGTTACAATGATATTTCAACAATGTGATTTACAATCGTATTGATACTGGGGAAGGATCAACAAAACTAGCATTATTTCTGTAAATTTCGAGATTTCTGTTTTTTGTTGAAACCCTTCCCAGAAATCTTTCTCATTCAAACATTGAAAGGCTTTTCGAAATCTGTTAGAAATCTAATATGGATATCAANTGATGATAATAGTAATAAGACGAGTAATAAAACTATAACAATAACAAAAACAATATAAATGAAATAAAAAATCACGAATGACTACCAAGAAAAAAGACACTGAAAGCAACGAACCAGCTGATTGTATTTAATAGACCACAATTTGATGGTTTTGTCAAAAGATGCAGACGCGAAGCAATTTTCATTGGGCATAACGGCGAGACGACGTATGGCTGATGAGTGCTCATTAAAGGAGGCGATTGAGAGTTGATTGAAGGGTATGAGTTGCGCCGAGGAGAGCGATAAAATCGCACGGTAATGCGCTGAGCAGTTTGCGTTCATTTGTGACGATGACGAATGCGTCATCTTATCACTGAAATTACACTACTCATCCACTGAACTTATCACTCATCCACCTCAAGATCACTGCACAGGGACTTATGCTTGAATGGAGGCGGATTAATATGCATTAATTCGCTACATGAATAACCTATTGCAATTCAGTTTTTCAAAGAGATGATAAATACCTGAGGCCAGTCTCCCTTCCGATGAAACAAATAAAATAAAATATCAAAAGATAAATGTCTCACTTCAATGACAAATCGGATGACGGATCAAAATTTGAAATGGATTGTGACGGCATGTTGACATCGATATTATTGATCAACGTACTCAGTTTATTGCCCGAACTTATGGCGAATGTAGTGCGTGGCAATAAACTGTACTGTTTATCGCACAGCTTCGTAATAATAACCGAGATCGATTTCGATTTGCTGCTGTCGATTGTGAACGCATGACCACATACCGACGAGAATAAACGAATCAATAATTCAGCGAATGAGATCGAAAATAATTCACTCAACTGAAACGAATGCATTCATTGTGCACACGCATCGAATATGAACAACAAATGAATGAACAGCTAATGAGCTGATTACCTGCGAGCGTTCGATGTCTTTGCATTTTATATTCTCATCAATAATTTCGTAGAATAAATCGAACGTACTGAATATTTGTTGTATTGTACACGACAAATACCTCAAACAAAAAAACGTAAATAAAGGACACATTAATGATTAATCAGCTCGCGAATTACTTTTATTCTTTGTTAAAAAGACTCATTTCAAAAGAATCAAATTGAATAACTGTCCAGCTCACTATTCCATGAACACTAAAGAGAACAACAGCACAGAAAGACGAACCTCATAACGTTTTCATAACCAATTCGACACGATAACAAATGAATGGTTGAAATAAGACGAGACACGAATAATCGCCGCATTGAGATCGATGAGAATTGTACTGCTGCCGAACAAAACAAATTCACTGACGGATGCAGGAATGAGTCGATAATTTGTTCCTTCATTTTTCAACATTATTACTCAGATCATTATTCGAGTAATGGACAAACGAATAAATAAAAAAACTACTTGCAGATAATCCATCAGTTGCTTGTCAGACAGATAATTGCAGCAGTTTTGTAGCAGCAATACGGCTGCGATAGAGGCGCATTCATTGGAACAGTTGATGCGTTTAATTGTCTGCTGAATGATTTCGCAGCAATACGGCAGATATTGATCGGTTATGAACGAAACACCGTACAAGACAGCGATCTGCAAATTCACCTCTTCATTGTCCAATTGCACCACAATCATTATTCAGTCAGACAGCTTAATTTTGCCTCGTTGCTGCACAATAAGCTTACACTTTAGACCTGTGCTCACATTCCGACTGCGATGATTCTGCTTCGGCTCATTAAGCTTAAAATCATCAAGCGTAAAATTAATGTCTGCCCCAATGCAGCTTATTTGCACAAATTATAAAACCTATCTCTCTAGACGAAGTCAATTTTCTGATAAAAACTGGAGATAATTTTGGTAAAAACTCAAAAAAACGCTCGACAAAGACAACCTCGAGTAAGCATGCGATAACGTTCGAACAACTCTTATCACCGTCAATATTGATGTCTAAATTGATCTGCAAACAACCTTCTCAATCTTCTTTAATTGCAGCAATAATTACGAAATATTAACATTTCAATGACAAAAGCAAATGCAATATGCAATGCAACATCTAACAATCATTAATTGCACAAAAAAAAAGAAGAAAGACGAAAAAATACCTCTTCAATGGA